TTCTTTATTTAAGGGGAACGACATTCTATTGTGTGCATATCCCCAAATTCTTTACCCATTCATCCCAGGATTTTGTCTACCACATGTGTGCTGCAGTTACTGTTGATTCAGGACCTTCTCTTAGGTGTGGTCCTTAGTAGATGATTTGCATATTCCATGTTCTGCCTCTTTCTTTCTCTATGGCAACAGCAAGGATGCTTCCATAGACTGCTGTGTCATATGGCCACAAGTTATTGGTAGAATGAGGTTAGGGAGGAACCTAGAGACTTGGCAGGAATTCCCCAGCCAAAGGCTAGTCAGTTTCCATTGTGCATAGGGCCACTGGCAGACTGAGTCCTCAAGCTGGACAATGATGCCATTCTGCTCCCTCAGCAACTTAGTCTCAGGTCTTTTCAATCTTCCACAGGGCTCAAAACTGACTGAATAGCTCCATGTTTACTGTTACTCAATTATAACAGACTCAGATTAGCCTTTAGCCTACAAACCTGCCTTAACCACCACCCCCCTCATAACTCTCCATTCAGTCACATAGTAAGTCTAGTGAGTGCTCACTAGGGGCTAGCTAGGTACTAAGACAGATGGCATGACCTGTTTCTTGAGAAGTTTTTCAGTCTAGTGAGGGAGATGATACAGTAAAAATCATAAAAATTAGCTGGACACTGGTGTCTCATGCCTATAACCCCAGCTACTCAGGAGGCTGAGATCTGAGGACCATGGTTTGATGCCCACTGGGGCAGGAAAGTCCATGAGATTCTAAAACAGAAGTGGTGCTGTAGCTCAAAGTGGTAGAGCCCTAGCCTTGAACAGAAACAGAGCCCAGGCCCAGAGTTCAAGCTTTATGACTGATAAGAAAAAAAATCGTACCAATTACCCATCATTTAATCTCTATTTACACAATCATTTTATAAAAGCATTTATTATGATTCTATGCAGGTAGAGAGGAGGGTGTTTGGACAAGAGCAGGCACAACCAGGAAAAACAGACACATCTCCCTTTTGTCACCATTTCCCAGAGCTCCAATGTTCATGTTCCAGCGTTCCAGCCAGAACCATCTCACAAGTCTCCCTCTAGCCATGCAGAGCCTGAGCTCCCATGATGCCTCACAGACTGAGGTCTTGAGACCTCTGCATCCTCCTCCTTCTTCCCTCACCTCCTCCTCTGCCTGGTCTATTCTCTTCCTGCCATTTTCTAAAAGAACTGCTACTCATCCTCCACATTTCCATTTCATCACTGCCTCCTCTGTGAAGCCTCCCCAGATTTTCAAAGACAGACACACACACGCCTTCCTAAACTTCCACCCGATGACCTGGGTGAGTTCTCATCACAACAATGGCCTCATGGCCTTCGCATCGCTCTCTCGTTTGCCTGTGTCTCCTCCAGAAGCAGGATGCAGCAGATGTAATTGGATTGGTCTCCCCCAGCTCCTTGCACAGGGCCATGTGGGCAATGAATGCACTGAAAAATAAATAGATCTCCCTGCCCTATGCCCTTGAGGTGTTTGTCTTCACATCTATTCTTGCTGCAGTTGCCAGAATTTTCTGGCTTAGCATCTTCTCTGGGGTGTCGCTATGGCCTGCCACAGTCCATGTCTTTCATTAGTCATTTTATGCTCCAGATGTCCCCCACCGGCTATCCAAGTGAGAAAGCCTTGCTATTTATTAAGGAGGGCTGCTCAGATTTCCCAGACAGTTCCTGTTGAAATGTCTACAACATGCTACAAAAAGTCTTCTGGATTCCCTCAGCTCTTCCTGTGTCTTTCGTTGTTTTTGGTACTAACCCCTTGGCTATTACCTGCTTCATTTCCAGTGTGTGTTTCCTGGAGATCCTTGTGCAGTGAATAATCAGTTTTGCAAGGGGACGGTGGCAGTGGTAACAGTCCTTTTCTTCCCTTTGGATGCTTTCTTCAAGAAGGCACCTTGTCATATAGTACACTAAATGGACCATATTTGATAAACCTTGTACCTTGAGGTGTTTAGAAACAGGACAAGTCTTTTATGGTAGGGCAATATCCTCTATGCTCAATTCAAAGGAAAACGATCCCCTTTCCAAGGTTGGATAACAAGCTCCTTTTATGCTAGAGTTGAAAATTGTTGAGCACTCCTTTTCCATTTCAAGCCAGCCTTTAATAACTTACCAGTGCCCTCCTACCCCCACCAAGCCACCTGGCCATCTGCTGATAACTCTATTTATTACCATGATTATTGCTTTTGTTTCTCCCCCACCATACTGTATTTCAAGTGTCTACATTTGTCCTTGTCCCATTTAATTATCACAACAAAACTGAAAAATGGAAACTGTTGTCCTATTTTGTAGATGAGGAAACCTGGGGTCAGATAATTAAGCAAAGTGCCTGTATTACGCTTACTATGATTTACAATCTGAAGAGTAAATAGACGGGACAACTTGATCGAAGAACATTCATGTACAGATATATCACAATGAACTGTGTTGAAAATTTAATATGCACTAATTTTTAAAGACGCAAACAGTAAAAATAAAAACCCAAATACCAAACAGAAATGGTCTGGTCTTTCTGAAGCCCAAGTGTTTGCAGCTTCCCCAAACCACCTTTTTTAAAAAAAAAATGCTATCTGTTTACATCCAAAGAGCAGTCTCTTTATTACTGCTTCCTTCTGGTGACTGTCATGTGCACAGACTTATAACCTAAGATTTTAACCTCCTTTGGCAAAATATCTGGGTTTTCTACGTTGTATCCTTCCCATCTCTCTGGATGGCTTACAATGGATGGATTTGGTAAGTATCTGTCAAATATTTAGATAACTTGAGCATTTCTTTTAGTGATAAATCCAAAATTCATGTGGATCTTAGCACTAATGGTCTTAGTTAGATAAAAAAAAAAAACAAAAAGATTGTATGGATTAAAAATAATTTTACAAGTCTATTTCAGCATTTCTCCAAGGTAAAAAGATGTTAGGACAATTTCCTCAAACACTACATCCACTGCTCAAAGCTTGAAGATGCCCCCAAGCATCTGCTAGTCTAGAGTTCTCTTTTCCTGTATTGCTGTATTTATTTTCCTTGCCCATGGGTGATTATCTTCTTGGACAGTTTGTAACTTTGGCTTGTGGCCTCATCTTCCTTGAGCTTTCTCTGTGGGAAGCTGCACAGCTTAAGTTGGAAGAGTTTCTCAATTGCCTTTTTTGCTGACATCACAGGGCTACTATAAACCTCAGACTTTTTATGAATATCAGATTCTCAGATTAGTACAGATTTTAGCCTATCCTAATAACCATTTTAAAAAAATCTTAGGAGAGACAGTTCATTCTTTTTCCCTGAATTACTGAACATTCTTTTGCTGTTTGACCTAACTTTTTTTTTCCACTCATCTGAGCAGCTTTAACCACAGTTCTTGTTTAGAATTCTGAATTTCCTTGGTTTGCCCCCATAGGAATGTCCTTTTCTCTTGAGCTTCATAGTTAAAAATATTGGATATGTGCCATCTTTTAGATATTAGTCCAGGAAACATCTGCATCCCATACAAAAATTCTTCCTACTATCTATGAGTGGATCAAATTTAATTATCTCTGCCTCAAGTTGTTATCTAAGGTCATACATGGGAATAAAGTTAGGCCCTTCAGTAGATATCACAAGGACCAGCAAAGATAAAACCTAGAGAATGGTTACATGCTAGATGAACCAAATCAGAGACATGCAGAGAGTCTGAGCTGTAAAGCTAAACTTGCATGTAGCTGAGGGATATTCTCAACATGCATCCTTTCTAATAAAATCCAATCAAGATGATGATAAAATAGTATTCCTTGATGAGCTCATGTTGAAGACACCAGTTATTACTCTGGAGTTACCTTGGCATATTTGAAACTTTGTGATATATGGTTATTAGATGAACTAGCTTGTTTTATGGAAGGAGTATTAGATTAATGTTAGGGATATCATAGAATTAATACCGATTCATGAAACTATGTATACATTAAACAGCCTCTTTGAATCAAATAACAAAGAAGATATTTAGTGTACAGTATTTTAGCCAGTATGTATTTTATGGAGGGAGGCCTTCCTAATGATACCTGTCACAAGCTATTCTCCCACTCTGTTTCTTATGAAACTATAAGCTGCATGTGAGCAGAGGTGACGTCTGTCTAATCTACTATTGCTCTTTAGAAGTGCAGCCAGTTCCTGATACATAGTCACATTCAATCAAGGTTGAATCAGTGAAGTAGCTGGCTTTACTATGATGATGAATGATATAAATATGTGAGGTTCATCTACTCACCACACATCCTTCACCCAACATCACATGGGGATTAAGTGTCCTTCTCTACATGATACCATTTCATGACATTCTTCCAGAGTCACTTGGATTTCATTATATGTCAAAATGATATACTTTGTTAACCATATACAAATGCTGCATGACTGTGTGATCTCTGCTTCTCTTTCTCAGGCATGCTCCATCACACTTCTGCCTGCAGTGTGCATTCTCCGCTCTTCAGGTGTGAAGTCAATGGCTTCCATGACTGAACTTCAAGGTGTATTTCTAGCTTCACCTTCCCCTAGGCTCCTTTGAGTTGCTTTAATTCTGACCAGATGGCATTCGGCTACCTTCACTAAACTTTCAGTCTCTGACCATTGCTTATCTCTGCACCAAAGACCTTTTTGTTCAGCCTTTGAGGGTGAGGACCAATGGAAATACCATCACATCCAGAAATCCTACTATTGCATTGAAACAGTGGATCGGGGTTGCTATTTGAGTTATTAAGACCAAGCATTGAGCAGTTACAAAACACATTCCTTCCCCCTCCCCCGTCTCTCTCTATGTCTCTCTGTGTCTCTCTGTGTCTTTCTGTCTCTCTCTGTCTGTCTCTGTCTCTGTCTGTCTGTCTCTGTCTCTGTCTCTGTCTCTGTCTCTGCCTCTGCCTCTCTCTCTCTCTCTCTCTCTCTCTCTCTCTCTCACACACACACACACACACACACACACACACACACACACACTTACAGAATGAGCACTTCTGCTTTTCCAGGAGATAATTTTGACTGTCCTCCAGCTGAGGAGTGGGAGTTGGAGAAGCTTGGAGAGGCTGTGGAAGCCTCCTCCTCAAGCCGCCTCCTATCACAGCAGCTCAGAGAAATCTCCCAGGACACCCCTCTTCAGCCTCTTAGGAGAGCATCTGAACACTTCCAAGAGAACATTCTGGATCATTCAAGTGAGTTATTTTAAATCTTTGTCACACCCACTGATTTCCTTCCTTTCGGTGCCTGAGAATGACATAGCATAGCAGTGACTCATGTGCACTTGAGGGTAGCCTGCAGGAGGAGGGGGCCTGGGCCCTGCTGGAGCGTAAGTGAGGCGCTTCTAGGAGGGGACTGGCCTTTGGTTGTCATCGGAGAGGCAGCAGAAGTATTGGTTCCACAGTGTTTTATTTTTTTCAAAAACCATGATGACATCTTGTGAATCACTAGGTTTTAATAAAGCTGAAAAGAGGGACCGCAGGTCTCCTATTTCCCTATACTTGGCTGTGTATTTGACATACTCTATAAAAAGAAGAAGAAAAGGAGAGACGTTAGGAAAGCATTTAATGTTGTGTGCCTTGCAGGTAAAATGAAAGAACTACAGGTATTGGTATTAACTGTCAGATCTGGAAAGAGTATGTTCCACAAGCTTGTCTCCAAACCTTGAGTATGCTGATACTGGCTTAATCATGTTTGGATTCTGTGTTGCATCTGTGTTGGTTCTGCCTTCGGCTTGCCAAAATTCAAAGCCCCACTCCCCACGTTTAGCCACAATCCTATGAATGATCTTTGGGGTTTACCAGACGCTGAAAATTAGCATTACCATCTGCACATGGAGCCAATCCGAGCTCCTGTCTCATAATGATGAAAATAATCCACACAAGGCACTGTCAGATCTACTGAACAGTCACCAAATGTGAGGATATTATTACATAAGATCAGATTACGTGGAGATTGTTTTCATTCCATTTGCCTTTACAAAGTCATAAAGACTGACATTAATGATCATTCCTTCAACTCCCAAGGTCCATATGCCCTATGCATTAAGTTCCCAATGAGGTTATTACAAAGTCTTAAAGGAGTTTTGTTGTTTGTCTAGTGGTATTGTGGTTTGAACTCAGGACCTTGCATTGGCACTCTACCATTTGTGTCATGCCCCTTTCCATTTTTGTTGTTTTAAGATAAGATTTCCCATCTATGCTTGGGCCAGCCTGGATTTTGATCCTCCTATTTATGTTTCCCACATAGCTGGGATGACAGGCCTATACTACCACACCCAGATTTTATTGGTAGAGTTGAGGTCTTGCCAAGTTTTTGTCTAGGCTAACCAGCTATAACTATGATCCTCCAAATCTTTACTTCCCAAGGAGCTAGGATTACAGGCATGAGTTACTTTGCCTAGCCTTGTTAAAGTATTTTTTTAAGTTTCCTCTGCAGATAATATAATGATTCAGAAGGTAACATTCTATTATTTAGATAGTGGCCAGGTTATCAACATTTAATGAGATTACTCAATAACCACCTCCACCAGGAATCTACCCTTCTCTGGGCTCTGTGGCTCTCTTCTCTTTCATGCCCATTATCTCTACTATTATTACTTGCTTTCTTCTATGTCTCCCTTATCAAGCTCTGAGCTTTTTAAAGATGTAATGGGGGGACTGGGAAGGTGGCTCAGTGGTACAATGCTTGCCTTGCATGCATGATGTACTGGGTTCGATTCCTCAGCACCACATAAGCAAAAAACCCAGAAGTGGTGCTGTGGCTCAGCCTTGAGCTGAAGAGCTGAGGGACAGCACCCAGGCCCAGAGTTCAGGCCCCACGATCAACAACAACAAAAAACAAAGATGTAAAGATGAGCACCAGATAATAATCAGCCTTGAATTCTAAACATCCCACATGGTGCTTGGTACAGAGTAAGTCCCCCCCCTCCATTGTAGTGGACCAGTTAATAAGTGTGCCAGCTTTGCACACATATAAAAAAATACTGCCACTCAGACAGGCCATGTAGCCTTGGTACCCTGCAAGGATTTTTGAAAGGACAAGTGCATGATTTTTACTGTCTGTAATACTGTACCTGCTATACCTAGATGCCCCTACTCTTCCTCATGAACACCACCCCCCCAGGACTCTTGGGAGTCTATATGAATAGCTCTACTAGACTATTTGTTTTCCTTTTTCTCAGTAGGCTATGTCATCTGAGTGGACAAGGTCTGCATTCATTCAGTCCTCCATGTCTTCCTTTTGCATGAACACTCAATTCCAGATGATGTCCTACATGCTGAGAACATCAGCATGTGGCCATCAACTGTGTTCATCAGGGTTTTCCAGTTCCATGGGGTGAAACCCAACATACAATGGATTCATCAAATGGAACTTGTGAACTAGTGCCACTGAAAATTCTGGAACATGTTGTTGAGGATTCTTTAGTTCCCTGCCTCTGGCATCTCTTCCCTCCTGTGTTTGTGTGGCTCTGCAAAAGATCATCTCTCCACCATGGCTCTACTGGCTTGGGGCTTACACCTTTGCCAGTTCCAGTTCAGTACAGAGAAAGACAGCAATATTCCACCAGTCTGGAGTTAAGATTAGAGGCCTAGAGTTGGTTCTTGAAGGGGTCCATTCACATGGCAAAATCGAGGCCTTTGGTGATAAGTATGTGAGGCTCCAAGAGTCTGGGGATGGATCACATGCTGGGAAAGCAGTGAACTTAGTCATTCTGTCTACACCACACAGTAGACAAAGGGTAGATGATGTAGATGATTCTCCAAGGAAAACCTCCATGCTGCTTCTGTCAACAGTGTGCAGCCAAGTGAGAGAACATAGAGAAATAAACCAGGAATTTTAAATGAAATGGTAAGAGTTCTAAGGGAAATGCGAAGGAAGGATAGCAACACAGAGAACAACTGACAGCTAAAAAGGGGAGAGCTGATGGCGTCAAGGCAGGCTACCTGATGGAGGCCATATTTGAGCTATGCCAACATAGGTAATACATGGCTACTGAAGAAATGAAGGTCAATAATTGGTCCAAAATCACACAACTCCTTTCTGCAGAACATGCATTTACAGCCCATTCACCTTCAATACCATGTCTAGTGCTCTTTTCAGTTTTTCCAGCTAGATTTGTTTCTATTAGGAAATGTTTTCCAAACTCCACATGAAATCAAGGGAGGTGAAAACTAGAGATAGACTTTAGGAGCATGGTTAAATGTTCAACTGAACCCTCACTGATGTATTTAATCCACAGTGTGCATAAAGTACTACTATACATATACAAGGATATAGTTTACTACCGCTACCCCCTCTATTACCAGGCTTCAGGATTCCGCCCACATTCTGGGCTAAGTAGCTTTGGTAGCTGATTCAGTCTTCATTCACAGAATGAATATCCAGAATAAATACACTCATCGCATAGTTATTCCTAGTTTTAAACAGCTCTTAGAAAACTGAGTTTTTAAAGGATGGCAAAACTAAGTTGAGATGTTTATGAATTCTTTTAAAATCTTTATGTGGAAGTCCTTAAACCAGTTCAGATTTCTTTCAAGTGAAAAAAGTAATACTCAGGTTGACAAGTGATTTAATTCTCATATTTATAACTACTGGAGGCTTTGCATTCATTTGTAATGTGGCTTGCCAGGTGGCTGAATTATTTCACTGACTGGAAAGAGTTTTGCAAGGACAAATATTTCATAATTCGTGTTCTCTTTTTGGATCTTTAGAGCCTCTCAGCATGCTAAGTTGCAACTGTCTTTTCCTGCCCCCACTTTAGACAAAACACTGTGTTCTATCTAGATGTTGTTTTGGCATCTGTACCTCATAGCTATGTGGCCTTGGACAAGTTCATCATTTTTCTCAGTCATGCTCTTCTCATTTCAGACCTGAGATAATTGGTGCCATCTTATATGAGCATTGTGCTGATAAAATCACCTTCGTATAGGAAAGCTACTTGTGAATTGCTAGGCATTGTACAAATATTAGGCATCATTACTATTATCATCATCTTCAGAGTCCTGACATTAGCATGAACTCTATAAAGTCTTTCCTCAATGGTAAAGCAAAAGGAGAATCCAAAATTGTGTTAAGTAGTATAACCTGTCTTTTATTTTATAATACAGAGGAAACTGATTATTTGTAGACTGTTTTTAACGAATGGCCCCCATAAGACATCATGTGATTCCATCTTGTTCTTTATTGCTAATTGCTTAAACTGACATACATTTGAAGACTGTTTAGAGGAGAAGCCTTAGTATGAATTTGTTGTTCCCAGCTTATTTAATAACAGTGGTTTCTAACTCATTTGCATTTGCTCCTCCCCTTAGAACCCTGTCTGATTCAAGAGGCTTCCTTTCAAGCAGTCCTGCTTGCCTTGTGCTTCATTATTTGTGCCTGTGCAAGGTAATTTAGATTTTCTTTTCATGCAGCGGTGTTTTATAATGAATGAGTCTGTAATTGATGGATGATTTTCTTGCCTTCTTCCATGAAGCATTTCAGGTAGCGGTATGGCTGAGATTTATTAATTTATCTACAGGGGTAAGTGCTTTCCTACCTCGTACCTTCCTCTTTTCTTTCTTCAACAAAACATAGAGAAGCTAGTGTATTTTACTTATGATATCATGTGTTATCCTTTGTTGAAAGGCCACAGATCCAGTGCAAGTGCCCCTTCCTGAACTCAAGGACATTGGATGTCCCCAGTGGGAAACAAAGAGTCTCTACTGAGATTTCATTTTTCCTGTTGTATTTTTCATCCTAAAATTCCTCAGTCTGAAAAAGAACCATCAGAAAAAGATTTACCAAAGAGTAAAGATACTTACCTAGCTGGGAGTAGCTGTGGCCCTGTAATGGAAATGTGGTAAACTCTGGGTAGATTAAATATTCAAAGAAAGAGGTGGAGACAAGGGGAAGAGGACACTTGGGCCAAGTGTCCTGGTAAAAGCACTTTTTATATGCAGTTGCTATGGTTACATGCAAACATATGGTTCTGGTTCTGGCAGTCTTTTGTGATGGTCACCACCAAGCAATCATATGCAAAAACACTTTCTTCATAACTTTCTAGCCCTGTTTACTTTCTGTTAGGATTTTTGTTAGACACAAGTGACTCCATCTTGACTCTGAGAACTTTTACATTCCCTCCACACATAGAGTGTCCAGGACATCTCCATCAGAATGCAATGATGAGGTGTGACTGTAAGCATGTTTCTGCTTTCCCTTCTGCCCCACATGGCTTTGCCATGCCTTTCCAACTTTTCTTTGTCCAAAACTCCAGGGCAGTGGTCAGTTCTTAGTAGTGTTAAGTTCACTCGTGACTCTGTGACCTTTGCCTCGGATGGTCTCTCTACCTGGTACAAATCTTCTCCAGGTAGCCTGCCTCATAGCACACACCCTTGCTTCTTTCAGGAATAGGTTCAAATGTGATGACATCATCAGAGAGGCCTTCCCTGACACCATGTGTAAATACCATACCACTTTCTAGTGCATGTATCTCTTGCTTTACTTTTCGTCAGTGAATTTATTACCCCTTGACCTAATAAAGGTTCAAGTGTCTATATGTCAATGCTCTAACTCTGGCAACCAGAATGTGAGCAACCTGAGAACAGACTTTTTGCGTGTCACTTCTCTATCCTGCATGCCAAAAACCTCATTGATATTTGTTGAATCAACTAGACAAACATAAAAAAATTCAGCCCTAGAAGCTGATGGTCCTTGAACTCTGGTCAGCAGGTGTTGCTTATTCTCAAGTCTTGTCTCTCTGGAGGGTCCAATTCTTCACATTGCTTGAGGTGGCTACCCTTCAAATATCAAGTGTTAGATTCTATCCCTTAGTATACTAATTTAGGCCTAGTGAGAATCAGCATTTTAAAATAAGCTTCCCAGTTAATTATAAGCATTGAGAAGCATTTTTTTTTGGTTCACAATAGGACCAAACAAACAGAAGACGGGAGGTCCGATGGTTAAAAATAGATTTGCAAAATTCTGCATCGTATATTCTTCCAAGTTGGAAGATTCATGATGTGCCTTTGTAGAATAATGCTTAGTGAGATCACACAGTGATCTCAAAAAGTCTTACAAATTTTCAAATTGATCAGGAAGCCCTGATCAACTTGTTCCATAGGAACACATTAATGAAATGTTTCTCTCAGGTTAATTTGTTCGTATACTATCCCCAATATTGAGGGAGAGCTAGGAAGCCCTTATCTATTGAGTGTGAGTTGTGTCTAGAAACATGTTCCCAAAGAGAGAGAAAGGAAAGAAGGAGAAAAGGTGTCTTTATCATGGTAAGATCTGGCCCATTCTACTTCAAGTGAATGAAGTCAACATCAGTAGGGGGATATTTTGTTGATTGCATAGAGCCAGAACACAGTCATGAGATTGTGTCTAACCATAAGAAAAGTCAGCATAAAATCCAATTTGATCATTAGTGAAAATAGGAAAATTTCACTTTCAATGTTGCTCCTTATGGAGCTACATATTTTCCCACCACTGTCTTTTTTAATTCCTTATTCTGTCAGAATGAATTCTCTTGTAGAGCATTTTGCTTACATTTAATATGGAAAATTACTTGCCTCTCTTAGTTGCAATGTTTTTATAATGTATCAAGTTATAACAACAATAAATATAATGTTCTAATACTTCATTCCTTTTTTTGTTCCTACATAATAGCTCATTGCACGGGTATGTTTTGTTTCATTTATATATTCATGTATTGAAAAACATCTTGGTTGCTTCCAGTTTTAAACAACTTTCAATGAAGTTTCTACAAAGGATTACATGGATTTAAAAATAAAGCTTTAATTCAGTTTGGGTACATACCAAGACATGGTATTTCAGGATTCTATAATAAACTTACACTTAATTTTGCAAGACAGTGCTAAATTATTTTCTTAGGTGTTTTCACCATTTTTATTCTCAACAGCAATAGATGGGACTTCCTGCGGCTCAGCATCTTCACCAGCATTTGGTGTTGTCCTTTTGGAGATTTTTCACTATAATGGGTGTGCAGTGGTCCCTTGTCTCTTGCTGTTTAAATGTTCACTACCTATCAGATCTTTCATTCTTTTGTGATACTGAGGTAAAAACATAAAAACAAAACAAAACAAAAAAAAAAAACAGGGCTTCAGATTTTCTTGGCTGGCCCTCTATCACTTAAGTCTTGCCTCTAGCCATGTTTTGTGCTGGTTCATTTGGAGATGGAGTCTAAAGAAATTTTTCTGCCCAGGCTGGTCTTGTACCATGATCCTTCAGATCTCAGCCTCCCAAATAGCTAGGACTATGGCTCCTTCACCATTTAGACATGGATTATTTGCTTTATTATTGAGTTTTAATTGTTCTTATACATGCTAGATAGAAGTGCTTCATCACATATATGATTTGCAAATATTTTCTCCCAAATTGTGCACTGACTTTTCATCCTTTTGGTATTTGCTTTTTTAATTTTCATAACATTCAGTTTGTTATTTTTTCTATCACAAATTGTGCATTTGGATTGGATTTCACAACTCGTTGCCAAAGCCAAAGTCTTAAAGTTTTCCATTTACAATTTCTTCTTCAATTTTTATCCTTTTACATTTCAGTCCCACTCATTTTAAGTTTAACTTTGTGTATGAAATTATTTGTGAGAGTTTGTTCGTATGTGTGTGTGTGTGTGTGTGTGTGTGTGTGTGTGTGTGTGTGTGTGCCAGCTTAGAGTTTAAACTCAGGCCTAAGCACTGTCCTTTAGCTTTTCTTGCTCAAGGCTGCCACTCTACCAGTTGAGCTCTCTCCACTTCCTGAGAATTTGTTGTTTTACCTGTGAATATCCAATTGTTTTATTTGCTGAAAGGACTGCCCTTTCTATTGAATTACTTGTGTATCTCTATTAAATATCACTTCACTATTTCCACAAGAGTGTATTTCTGTCTTCTTTTTTCCCTTTTATGTCTATCACCTTGCCAGTCCACCATCACTACAGTATGTCTAAAAGAACATGGCACAGGTTGGAGATGAAGAGTTAGAATGCTAAATCTAAGCAATCCTGTCATTTCAGATGGCTTCTAGGTGGAGTACTAGCCAATGTCTTTACATGTGCATCAATGATAACTACAGCTTGTAAGTAACTTTTCCTAAATTTCTACTCTGATTCCTGTATTTCATCAGACTTTGAGTCATTTAGTTTTTTTTTCGTTTTTCATGTTTCTCTTTTCTACTCAAGATATTGTGCGATCACTGCTTTTCACCTTTGGCAGTTACTTCAGGGCCACCACCTATGCTCGGTAAGTGCTGCTGTGGTGGCATCACATCATTGTCTGGCCACCAATCCTAGCATAGAATATCAGATGCCAGGTTCTTCTGAGAAATAGATGGTGCTGACAATGTACAGCAAAGGTCCCACTCATTTATGCTGAGGAATGCTTTCTGTTACTGCTTAAATCTAATAGTGTTCTGATCCTGCCCCTTGACTTCTTAAAATAAACGGTGTTAAAAAAAAGGTCATAGGACTTACAAAACACATGATGAGTGTCTTTATCAATGGTTTTGCAAGTACCTTTGTAGATTCAAAGCATTGTGCTTTATAGATACCTCCTATTAAGAGAGCCTTATCTTCCACTTGCCCAATAGCTGGCAAGCTGCCCATGAAATGGTCTTGGTTAAGAGCTGTGAATTCTCGGCCTTCTCTTACTTTCCTAATGACCCCCCACCCAAGCCCTCACTTCTCATCCCCTTTGTGCTGTCTGCCAGAATGCAGCCTCTTCAGAGGGTTCCTGGGGACTCGGGTTGGAGAGTGCTTACAGAATTTTAAGCATTCTTCTAGCATCATTCATTACAGTATGGAAGGTGTCAATGCCCTTCAGTACACCACAGTTGCAGAGCCAGCATCCCTGGCTTGGGGATCAAAGTCTGCAATTCAAATTACTTTCTTGGCCTTCGCTCTTGACACTCTGCTTCCCTGTTTATGAAATCTCTGTGTTGACTTTGAAATCACAATGGAGTTGAGTGAAGATGTATTGTGTTTACAACTCTAGGCAATATTGATTTAGTGACACTTTGAGAGACACTGCCAATAATTTCTTGGCCATTCAGCTATCTGAAGTTAGATCTTGCTATAGCTAAGATATATTTAAGTGGATAGTTAGAAAATTGAGCCTGGGGGTGGAGTGGCCCCAAATCCTCTTTCATTAATCAATCCTTAAAGTTAGTGGTATTTGTTTAAAACTGTCTTCAGAGATACCCACTTTCATCCCTCTACCTGTCAGTTTGTTTCTAGACCTCTATGGAGGCAGAAATGGGCCTTAGCTGATGCTACATAATTTGCAGCTTTATATGCTAAAATGATCACAAGTTAGGAATGAACCAGGAGAAATATCTATGAAAAGATTTTTACCCAAAGAGCTATTTTAAAATCCAAGTTTCAGGAGTGAAAACATTCTTATGGTTTGTCAAACCATAAGAATCATAAAAATCTGCTTTCTCTGAGTCTGTAGGTTAGCATGGAGAATTAGTTAGAAAAACAAGCTATCATTTTGTAGGGAAGTTCTGAGATGTGGGCATAGTTTCTCAACGTGAATTTCTAGATTCAATAAAGGCGCTTGTATAGTCCTGATGCTAGCCCCTTGATTCAAAGTTTGGAAGGAGTCTATTTTATTTTTAGCCATCTCTCCAAGTTTTCATTTGAATATAAACTCTGAGGGTCTTGGAAAGATGACTTCCAAACCTTTTACCCCTTGATTTCTCAATTGACATTATTTAGCCTACGAAATCTGTACTGAGAACTTTACCATGTTCTGTATTGAATGGACTCTCAGTACAACTCAACAGTCACCCCCACACACACATACACTCACTCACTCATCTCTACCATAGGTGCCAACATCCTAAAGCCAAGTTATGGAGCCAGACTCAAGATTTCAGAGTCTAATGAGAGTAACACATGTGCAAAGGACAAAGAACTTTTGTATTTCACTATGGTAAGAATAAATATGGAGCTAGCACAGAGAACAATAGAACCAGGAGATGAGAAAGTGTGGGGAGGCTAGTCAGTGAAGGTTTCCTGGAGGAGGCAAAATCTAACTCCATCACCTGTTGGCTTTACTGCACCAGCTACTACTCTGAGTGACTTGTTTTCTACTAAAATCTATGAACAATAGAACATATTTGTATTCTGGCATAAGTATTTCTCATCTACAGCCTCACTTATGAGATGAAATCTCTGCTTGGATTACTTATGTACATAATATAACTTTTTCTTCTCTTGTTCCTCTGTCTTTCACGATTTCCAGCTCACCTGGCCATCTACCACACACTCTTGCCTTTAAGACCTATAAAAACAAGGACTGTTGACTTCACTTTTGCATCTACCCCAGTGCCTTCAAAATAGTAGATGCTCCATAAATATTCATCAAACTGAAAATAGTTGCTGCATCATTACTTGAAGTCCCTCTGTTGTAGCTAAAATCTCTATGTCTACATATTAAAGATTTTGCAGCTTTCTCCCTCTTATATAAACCTATCCAGAAGCTAATAAGCTAAATGTAGTAACATCAAGGAGTCAAGAATGACTGACGAGTCTTCTCTAACAATCAGCAATGAGACTATTAGGAGGGCAGTCACTACAACAAACATGAAGACAGCAGCAGCCCTCACATGCCTGGGCCCCACGGTGCAAGCGTAGCTATGTTGAGTGCCTATACTTTTATCCCAGAGTTCTTCTCAATTCCTACCCCTCTTTATACCACAAGCTAATTCCCTTTTGACTTCTTTCCTCCCTCAGTTTAAAGTTTGCAGCTATGAGGATTATTCATTGTTTTCATTATTAACCTGAGTGTCCCTTGCAAATGAAGATCATCACAGGTATCCAGCATTGCTGGGTAGCATCAGAGGTCACAAGCTGACTTTGTATAACTTCCTAGCAACAAAAATTGGGCTCTCCATTCTTAAATGGAGGAAGGTACATTCATATACTTGGTGGGTGAGAGAATAAACTTTAGGAAATGAAATTCAAGCCCTGTCCCCCATAACACCTCATAGGATCCTAAAATAGAAATGGAAATTAACAAGTTTTATGATGAGTTTAGGGTTTAAAACCTCCTTGATCTTTCAGAGAAGAAAACATTAAGAACTTCCAGGGACAAAACCAAGATATATACTTGTAATCTTTAAGCTAGTGTGTATGCATGCGTGTGTGTATGTGTGCGTGTGTGTGCATACACACACATTGACTGCATCCTACTGCATTTCCTGAGAATGTGGATGAATTATGCATTTCTTTTACTCCTTTTCCAGACTAGATTCGATTAATTTGAAAACCATTGAGGATTATCACTGATGAATGTCTTCCATCGGAATATCCAGAAACTGCCCAACTTGCAGTCTACTTGCAATCAACTGCCTTATTGGGAAGAAGTGAACAATTAGTTCAGAAAAAATTCTAATTGGAGTATGGATTTTAAAAAAATCTCATTTTTATCCATAATGGTAATATGCTCATGAAAATAATATTAATTGGGCTTCCTTTCGCAAACGTTGACATTTGACAAGGAATGGACTGGGGAACTTGACAGAGACAGCATGGGCAATGAATGCTTTGGGATTAGTTCTCAAACATTAGCTTTCATTAGAGGATTCTGTGAGGTGCTTTGAGACACTGCAGATTCCAGGATCTATTTGCATGTACCCCTGCCTGACTAACCTACTTCAATCCAACAATGCAGATAAGTTTGTGTAATGAGTACCAGTCTAAAGGTAAATAAAAACAGCTTGCACATAAAAATCTAATGTGGCAAACACTACTCTATTGTATTGTATTGTTCTCCTCCCAAAGTGTCTTGATGGTAGAAGGGGGCAGGAAGGATATGATTCAGCCTCCCCCCTTCCCCACACAGGATCATGTTTGAGGAGCTTCACAGGTTAAGGGCTGATGGGACCTTTAAGAGGAGGGACCTGCTGGAATGTCCTCAAGCCACTGGAAGCCCAGGCCTCAGAAGGACTTAGCATAGTACTCTGGGAGTATATTCAGATTGGTCTCTCTGGCTTCTTATTTGGCTATGTAATCTCTCTCCCTTTCACACCACTCCCACCACTGTGATACCATCAGCATGAGGACCTCACCAGAGCCGCAGAGATGCTGGGGTCATACCTTGAACCACCAGAATTCTGGAATATTTCTTTTCTTCATTGAGTACTAAGTCTCAGAGATTTCATTACAGTAATGGGAAACAGACTTATCCAATAGGGGGTGGCTGATGGAAAATGGGCAGGAAAGAATCATTTTCTAGAAAGTATATTCTTCTGAATATATTTTTTCTCCTCCCCACTGCCATCTTTACCTCCTCCATCCCTTCCTTCCTCTCCCTCCTTTCTTCATTCTTTTCCTCCTCTCTTTTCTTCTTCCTCTTCCTCTGCTGCTTTCTTGTTCTCTTCCTTCCTTCACTCCTTTTCCCCTCCCTCTCTCCTCCCCCTCCTTCTCCCCTCCCCTCCCTTCTTCTCCCCTCTTTTCTCTTCTCTCCAGGAGGACTGTACATTATGGATGTCACCTGTGCAGGTGGCTGGCCTGGCTCCTATGAGGGCCTTATGTGTCACAGCAGCTCTAGCAGCAGGTGCATGATTCAAAAGAATCATGTCTTCAGTAAGCAGCAAATTCTCAATGACCCTAAGCACATTCCTTGGAAATTTGTGAGTTTGCTGAAGTTCATACGAAGTAAGACTTTAGGTATGCATTTGATTCTGTAAATATGTAGTCCAACCATGTCCCAAGACATGTCCCAAGAGCCAGGATGGTCCCAGGGGATGTGACAACTCTACTTGTGAGGTGTCATGTTGGGGCAAGGCTCCTTTCATTCTGTAAAATAGGAAGAACTATTTAAAAAACTGTTCATTAAAATACCAGAAGTTTGGAAAATTAAGTAAAACAATGTGACTATTAAAAGGCAAATTCCTTTTTGAGAAATAGGAGAAGAGACAAAATAACAGTCTTCCAGATACCCTCATCAATACTTCACTCTTGAATTTAACACTATTCTGGGTTTTGTCGGGTTTTTTTGGTCTGTGTATATGTGGTACTGGGGTTTGAACTCAAGACCTCTCACTTGCTAGGCAAGTTTAGTCCTTTATTTTTTTTTTTGAAGGGTATTTCCCTTTTGCTCTCATGGAGACAGGTTTTGGAGACAGGTTCTTACTGACCTTTTTGCTTAGGCTAGCCTTGAACAATGATCCTCTCAACTCTGCCTCCCACGTAGCAGGATTAGAAGTATGCATCTCTATGCCCTGCCTATCTATCTTGATTTTTATGGTAATTACATCTGTACTTTGCTTTGTAGTTTTCCTGAATATTATTTTAAAGCAATCCCTGTTTTTGTTTGTTTGATACAGTTTTTGGGTCTCCTTACTGTATCTGAACTTCCTTTAACTTCCACCCTTTCATCCTTCGTTTTAAAACTAAGGAGAGTCAACTTCAGAGAAGGATGGCTTGTCCTGGATCACAGAGCTTGGAGAAGGTGGAGCCAGGCTGCATCTGCCTCTGGACTCTAAGGTTTCTTGGCCTTCACTCCCTCACACCCACTGCAAAGCTTCTATAAGGGATATCTGGTAGAATTACTGCAAACCAACTCAGATGCAAACCAATATGATGGTGCTGCAGGGGAGGCCAACTCCCCCCAATAGAGTTCCCACTAGTGCTCACATAAAACAGCAGATACAGACACCTGCCAACTTGGCACACTTTGTCTGAATGCCATATTTCCCTAGCAGGCCTTACTGAGGGTCTGAGCATGTATTTTTTTCAAAATCTATCCCACTGTGCTGGCTGCACCCCTTCCATCTGGCCCATGCTGGGTGAAATCTGTTACAGCTGCCAGTTACACCTGCTAGAGAGCCAGACAGGGAACCATGGCATGGAGGGATGGGTGGGGGGAGATTAGCAAGTGGAAGCTAAAACCCAGCAACTACTTTGGAGATTTTTTTCTTCTCCTTTTGTAGCTTTAAAGGAAGTGAAAACAAAGAAAATGCAACAATGCTTGATAAGAAATGTACTCATTACCTTGTTCACGAAACTGTAACCCCTCTGTACAGTGTTTTCACAATAAAAAAAAAACTTAAAAATAAAAAAATGGAGTGCCCAAGGGAAACAAAGGCTGCCATATCAGGACTTAGATTTTTCAATGCAAAAGTCTTTTTTGCATGTGTGTTTGCATTATCTAGACAGAGGTACCCACTCCTTCCACTGAATCTAGTCCTCACAGCTAGCTATGTTTGTGTGAGTGAAGCCCAAATTCAGGCTGAAGGCATCTGCTTGTGGAGAAGGGATGAAACTCAATGCCAAATGGTCTTTTTTCTTTCTTCTTTTCCCCCCTTTGGAAGTAAAAATATCAAGGATGACATCCTAGATAGTTCTACTTTCTTCATCTTCTTAGTTTCTTCTCCTGTTGAGTTATAGCCTTTGAATACTAGTAAGAGAGTCCAGGAGAACGCTTTATGTCTTGGATGTCAGATAAGGCCAGGGTCTGAGCTGTAATCCAACTGTGACTTCAGACAAAAAAATGTCATCTTTCTAAACCCTAATTTACATATGCTTGAGATAGATCCTTTGTACACCCCATAGCACTTTTTTTATGAGACTCAAGCAGGTCCATGCAGGCAAAGTGCTTAGCACTTAATACCATGCTAGATATATGGCAACTTTTCCAAAGGGAAGTCTGCTGCTGTTCTTATTAGCATTGTAACATTCATAATAGGGGTATTTTGGCTTTTAGGACCATACATTTTTTTAGTCAAAGAAAAAGATTAATCCGGAATGAAGTTTGATCAGGGCACATGAAGTGAGTTGAAGAAATAGTGCTTCCAATATTTAACACAAAGCTGAGTGGTATAAAGGCAAAAGAATGAAATTTGAAGTCAGTCAGATGTAGACTTAGACAGCCATAGCCATAGATTTCTGGCTGTCCCAGCCTTTCTAGTTTTATGAGTTTTGACTTGGCACTCAACTTCTTTGACCATGCTCCCCATCTACATCCTAAGCAAGGTTTCTTGTCCAGGTCTGAGGCCTTCTCTGAAGTGCTAGCTGCAGAATGGAGGGACAGTATCGATGCATTGTCATCGACACCAAATAAGAGACTGTAGGCTTACAAGGTGCAGGAGAAAAGAGCGACTAAAAATTGCTACTTTAATGTGGTCTTCTATATTTTAGAAGTGAGTCAAATAATAAAAGAAAAACCGAGAGAAACAGTAGAAAGATTACCCATCATCTCTCAACTCAAGGCCAACCTCTTGATGCACTGTAAGAGATATGAAAACATCCAAACTAGAGAGCCTTTGGACAGAGACACAGCCGCCATCTGTGGCCAGTCAAGTGGTCATTGCCCTGTTGGAAACAGAGGGCTATACCAGCTGACAGACCTGTCTCCCTGCTGGAACAATGGTAAGGCTATTGCCCTCAGCTGTCAGCTTGCACCAATGTAATCCCAGATGCACCTTCAACATGAGGCAAGAGGAGGTGGAGAAAAGTTAGCAATGTTATCAGGAGGGAAGCAGAACAGAAACTACAATCCAGTGTTCTCAGTATGTGCTGTGTATACTCTCCCTCTCCACTTGTCTTCCTGCTTTCTTTCCGTTCTCAACCTTTGTATGAGATCTGTGGTCCAGACAGCTCAGAGGTTCCATAGTCTCAGGAGTCAGATAAATCAAAAAGTGATGACATTAGTTCAAGGAGCAATACATGGGAGTGATATCGGTGATCCTTCTCAAAACTCGTTGGATATCAGAGAGGTGATAGCCAGAGAAACTTTCCAGGCAGTCTCCATACTTCCTGCAGGACTCAGCTTGTTAATTCAGGTTCTATTTGCATTGTTGCTTGTGACAAATAGTTCTGGCAGAGCAGAGGTAGTTTCAGTCACAGTCATCATTCTGTCCCCAGTGTATAGCCAGAGCTAGCTGAGAAAGCTGCTCAGTGAATGGGGATCAGATATGCTATGAAAAGAGGGTGAACTGGGGTGGTGCTTGGAGTGGATGGCTATTCTCTCTGCTTCTCCTGCTACTATGGAAGATTTGTCTTTTCCAACAAAACTCATGTAGAAATTGTATTACCATACCACTGTAATTATCTTAAAAACTTGGACCTTTAAGAGGCGAGTAGAATTGATACTCTCCACCCACTCTTACTCTCTTATGCCTTGACCATCTACCCTCCTCCCTAGGATAAAGCTCAAGAAGACACTCACTAGATGCTAGCCACTCTATGGTGAACATCCTAGTCTCCAGAGCTCACAGTCAATAAACTTCTGTTCATTAAAAATTAGATTGTGGTATTCTCTTATAATAGCACAAAATGAGCTAAGACAACCAAAGTTATTTTCTCCCCAATGCTGGTCTTATAACTCATTCTTTGGGCAATCATCCCCTTCCCTTGTGGATGGGTTCTAGCGAGTCTTCTGGTTTTGTTTGTTTTTTGCCAGTCCTGGGCTTGAACTCAGGGCCTAGGTGGTATCCCTGAGCCTCTTTGTGCTCAAGGCTATGGCTTTACCACTTGAGCCACAATTTCTGGCTTTTTCTGAGTAGTTTACTTGAGATAAGAGTCTCACAGACTTTTCTTTTTCTACCTGGGCTGGCTTCTAACCATGATCCTCATATCAGCATCTTGAGTAGCTAGGACTATAAGCATAACCCACCAGCACCCAGCTAAGGTCTTCTTTTAAAAAGAAACTATCTTTAAGGAATTGCCATTTAACAAAACCATTTATGAATACAACCTATCTTGATCAATGTCACACTCCCTTCAACATTCT